TTACTACAGTGAAAGGACACAAAGCAAAATCATCAAAGGGGAAATGTGCATACAGAGAAGCCCTGGGGAAACCAGACCCGGCACGCAAGAGTCCTCTCTGGGTGGAGTCACCCAGAACACACTTCATTCCTTCAGCACTGAGTTGTGGTGACACGTGTGAGACGCCATCCACCAGGAAGTTCGTTAGAGACTCAGTGCCCAAGGTCTTTACTGGGGGCTGGTCATGTAAGTACCCTCGGCCTAACATGTACCGAAATTCCAGACCCCCGGAAGGAAGGCAGGTGTTCAGCATACACCACATTGTTTGTACAGTCTCAGTGCAGTAAACCACCCTTACCCATCAGAGAATGGTGAGAACACTCACTAAATCCAAGTTCCCAGGCACCGGCCAAGGGCCAAATCTGCAAGCAGAGCCTTTCTAGGGATAGAAGTCTCAGGCCTACCGCGTTAACTCTGTTCTGCACGAGTCTACACCCAGGCGTGGAATTGCTGGGTCACATCGTAACTCCATATTTAACTTTTTATGCCACAGTGTTTTCCAAAGCAACTGCACCATTTTCATTTCCACCCGCAATTGATGAGGGTTTCCACTTCTCCACAGCCTGGCCCACACTTGTTATTGTCCATCTTGTTGATTATAGCCATCTGGTATGACTGATAGGTTTTTAAGTTAGTGATTTGCAGGCATTTAGAACCAAAAATGAGGATCCGTAGGAGCCAAAATGTGTTCTCTAAGAACAAATCATACCAGCCTAACCCCTGATTTTTCTTAAAAGAAAAAAAAAGCATCTGTTTTCTCTGTACTCGCTGTACGGGGGGCAGAGTGCTTCTGTATTTCAGTCCTGTCCTTCATAGTATCTTCGTATACAAAAATGGAGACACAGGGCTTGGACTGATTACCTGGAAGATTCCTCACTTGTTGACAGATGACACTCAAAGAGCAGTGCTGGAGCCAGGTGAGGGGCCCCTCCTGCTGTTTCCCCAACTCTGTCCTCAGCCCAGCCATTTAATGTTTCTCTCTAAAACTTGGGGGAGACACAGATGGCGGTCCCATGAAAGCAGGCAGAATACCCAAAACACACAGACACACACACAATGAATGATAAGATCTGGTTCCAGAAAGATCCTGACAGCACGGAATGAGTATGGAGAGTCCAGTGAGATGCAGTTGTTAGGGACAAATGGCAAGTCCACACCCACAGGGTCTGGTCCAGATGTAACCAGGGAGAGTTTGCACTTCGGTTTCTGCTTATTACCAAAAGCCAACCATAACAAATGGGTGACGAAGTCTGGGCACCCTGGAAAAACGTTGTGATGTGTATCTGCAGTTTCAGAGGATTTAGAGCTCTGCCATCAGGTGATCTGTCGAAGGAGCCGGGCTGTTCAGCCGGCCAACAGGCAGCCTAAGGTGACTTGAGAGTTGGCTCCCCCTGGATGAAGATCTGTGGTGGGAGCATATGAGCTGTCTTCCCCATGGCCCGTAGGGAAAAGCAGATTTAGATTGATTAAGAAAGAACTTTGTGAAACTCTGCAATTGAATGAGCTGCCTGCTAAGGAGGTAAGCACCCTTTCACTGGGGGTGTTCAAAGAGAGATTACTTAGTCTTTTTAAGGAACTTGCATGGGGCAGGAGGTGGCCTGAGTTCTTTGAAGCCTTAGAACTGCCTAAACATGAAGCCAGGGACTGTCCGTCTCTAAAGGCAAGTCCAGGGGCTGCCCAAGGCACATATCACCAGTTCCAGAGTGAGATTAGCCTTTCTGTAGGTCACCCTCTTCTTGTGCCCCTCACAATCCTACTTGTCCATCAGGACACTTGGGTGCCCGTGAAGCTCCCCTTGAGACACGCGCTTGCCTCTGTTACTCAGAAGCCCCCCCACCCCATCCCCCCGACCCATTACCTATTTTACCTGTGATGTGTGTGGTCCACACGTCAAGTCTCCCAGCCATGTGTTAAGCTCCAGAGCCAATTTTCTTGTTTGTTCTTACTTTCATTGAGCAAATACTTAATGAGCACCTATTATGTGTCAGTCCCCTGGTGAGTTGCCAGCACGCAGCAGTGACTAGGGGATGGGGGCACTGACCAAATAGTCGCGAGTATAAGAGTTTAACTGCAGGCTGCTGTGGGACCTGACATCAGGAATGTGGGGAGGTCGTGGGGGCCTGGCTGGGGAGGAGGACTCCCTGCAAAAGTACCCTTTCAGCTGAGAGTTGAAGGAAGATAAGCAGTTGGCAGGAAAGTGGAGGGAGGGGTCCGGGGGAGCAGTCCCACCGTGGCTGCAGCCCAAACTGCGGCCGAGCACAGGCTAGGACACCTGGTAGGTTGGGGCGCATTAGGAAGAGAAGTAAGGACCACCTGGCTGGGGGCTTTCCCCGTCATCCCCGCTTATCCAGCGCCTGGGCTTGCGAGCCGAGGTGGGAGACACAAGGATTAGCATTCGAGGGTCTGTGTGTCCTTGTGCACGTGTGTGTGTGTGAGAGCAGCTCTAATTGCCTTCTGAATCCTGTCCCAAGCGACACAGGGATTATTTGTGCCTTCCTTCCTCTCCGTTGATGTGGATGACTGTGAGAACGGGCCACGTTCCAACATCCCCACGTCCCTGCAGTGACAGCTCCTTTGAGAACATGTAGATACCCATGGTTCTCTTAATTACTCCTGCACACCCACTTCTCTCTCTCAAGCAGGTGGGGTTTGGGGGTAGGGTGCAGTCCTCCCCCTCCAGACCTCTCCTCCTGCTTTCCTGCTGCCATTTCTGTTTTAACAGCCTCCTGCTGCTCCCCTACCCATCCCCCACCCCTCCCTCCCCTCACACTGACTTAATCGAGGCCCGCCCCCCCAGAATAAGAGAGACTGAGGGAGGAGGCCAGTCTCCCTTAAGCGCTCATACCCAGCAATTAGTTTCCCTTATTGCCAATTCAAGATAAGTAGAAAATAACCAAGGAATGGAACCAGGGCTCAAAACCTGTGTCAAGTGCTTGGCACGCAGTACCGTGACATTTGCATGTGTGTCTCCTGGGAAGCCACACATCAGGCCAAGCATGGGGGTGGGGTCTGCTGGCCTGGGAGTTGAAAGAGCTGTATTCCAGCCCTGCTGGCTGTGCCACCCTGACCACCTTCCATCTCTGAGCCTCAGTTTCATCATCTATGAAGTGGAGAGATGGTACTAGATTATTCTGCCATTTCACGGAGAGCCCAGGACACAGACCTGTCAGGTCTGCCCTCCTGGTCTGTGTGTTTTGGCCCCAGGGGTGAGCATGGCAATGGTTACTGTCCAGGTGTGCCTGGAAGAGATGGCTGCTAGACCTTGGCACCAGGAGTGGCAGAGCATGGAGAACGCAGGTGGCGATGTCCAGAAAGACAGTGCTGAGGCAGGAAGGTGGGCTGGGAGATGGAAGGAGAAAAGCAGAAGGGTGCCAGACAGTGTCTGGAAGTGAGCTGGGAAATAGAAATAAACACATATAGTAGACTGCTGGTTCTCAGATATGGCCCATGGACCACGTGGGGATGTGTTAGAAAGACAGGATGTCAGGACCCACCCCAGACCTGCTGGATCAGAAACGCAAGGATGGGGCCCAACAGCCTGTTTTAACAAGCTCTCTAGGTGATTCTGATGCACGCCAAAGTCTGAGAACTAATAAGGTGGATGAAAGAGGGGTGGATGGATGAGGCTTGGAGAACCAGATGGGTATTTTAAAGGCTGAGCAGGAAAGAGGACTCGTGTTTGTTGATCACTTGCTGTGTGAAGTCAAAAACTGGGCATTTCCAGCTACTTGCTTTCATTTAAACCTTTCAGGATTGTGGCAAAGCAGCCCTTGTCATTCCCATCTCAAAGATGAGGCAGCTGAGGCTTGGAGACATTCAGTTGCTTGCCAAAGTCAAAGAGCTAGTGGCAGGGGTAGGATTAGAACCTGGGCCTCCCGGCCCCGAAGCCTGAGTTCTCTCCACGACACCAGGCTGCCTCCCACCTGCCTGTCCTTCAGCTGTGCCTCCGCTGCCTGGGCTGGCTCCCTTCTCAGCCCCATGGTCACCGCAGAGGCCTGCTCTGCTGTCCTTCTTCTGCAGCCTGCCATCAGAGGCAAAAGGGAGACCCTGGGGGGGGGCGGGAGAGCAGGGCTGGGGACAGATTGTTGCCTTGCGTTCCTCCAGCCTCCAGTGCTAAGTGCAGTTAGGAGACAAAGGTGCTTGTATGCTTGTGATGCTGCCGAGGGGCTAACATGGTTGCCTTAATGTAGTAAGAACTCATGCATGCACTGGGTGACAGAGCTGACAGATACTCATTGCCAAGCCTGTGCAGGGTGCTTTGGGGGAACTGAGGCAAAGAAAATGTAGTTTCTGGCTTCAAAGAGTTTGTGGTCCAGAACCAGTAAAACAAAAACTAACAGTGACCGGCTGGGGTGCTAGGAGGCCTGGGAGAGCCAGCCTGGGTCAAGCCAAGTGCAGGAGGAGTTCAAAGAGACTCAAGCAGTGACTTTAGGGGACAGACCTAAGGCTTCGGAGCCAGAGGGCATGGGTTCAATTCCCAGCATGCTCACTCACTCCCTGGGTAATCCTGGGCGAGTAACCTCATGTCTCGACCTGTCTCCTTATCTACAAAATGGAGTTAACAACCCCTAGCTCAAGGGACGGTTCTATTAGATTCTAACAGGCATCCCTCGTTGAGTTTTGTTTCCTTCCATTCAGAGGGTCACTTTAGGTCCGGGAAGGCTTCATGGAAGAGGTGGCTTTTCACTTTGGCACTGATGGATGGCTAGAATGTACTTAGTGCCTTTTGTGCCTTCTCTGAGGAATCTATGGGTAGATGCAGGACACGTGGGGTTGTCGGAGAACAGCCTTCCAGGCATAACTATGAATAGAACAGTGGTGAGAGGAAGTCGTCTTTCTCAATGTGGAAGATTGTTTTTATAATGTGGTTTCAAATCCTGTTGCAAAGGGCAAGGCCAGGTGGCCAGCCCACGCTATTGGGAATCTCCACGCTCAGGGTCTGTTTCTGCTCTTTCTTACAGATGATGCAGTTCGCCTGGCAGAGCTACAAGCGCTATGCAATGGGGAAAAACGAGCTCCGGCCCCTCACAAGAGACGGCTACGAGGGCAACATGTTCGGTGAGCTGACGTCGGAAGACCCCCTGCCCCTGGGGGCCGAGCAGAATTTCATTTTTGACTTTTTCTCTCCTGAGCTATGTCCCTGTTTCTCCAGAGCTCCAAGTCTGACTTCCTCCAGGGTTGTCTAGGCTTGTGAGCCTTCTAGGTTTGGGGGGAACCCACATGCTTCTCCCTCACCTCACACACTTCTTTATATGCACCTGTTGTTAATTTTCAGAGCAGACGAACTTGGAAATGTGAGTGGGGGCAGTGAGTGACGGACACTAGTTGCCATGGAGAAGGTGGGCAGATCTGAAGGACACAGAGGGTTGGGTTTAAATCCGCTCCTCCAAGTGGCTGTAAAATGATCTTGGGTGTTTTCCTAGAGAAACCAAACATGTACCTGATAAGCTGGGCACACGCGCTGCCTTTAGGGTCTTGGGTGTGTGTCTCTCGCCGGGTGGCTTGGTGGACAGTCACAGTTAGGGAGCAGCACGGGTGCTGCTGTGTGTTGGCAGCTTGAGTCTGACCTGTAGCCACACTTGCCGACGTCTCGGTCCTTTGCAGCCGTGAGATCCTCCTCAGCCAGAGCCTCGAAAGCCCTTCTCACCTGGAGAGACTGCAAAGTGCCTCACTGTGGGCACGGCTTTAGATATCAAATGTAATTCCCGGACAAATCACCAGCGCCCCTCTCTGCAGGCCCTTCACATGAAAAGATGCTGGAGGCACCTGGCTTCCTTCTTTCCTGTGAGACAGGAGCTATCTGGGGAGCTGGAAACAGAAATTCATCACCTGTATTCCCCACCCCTTAGAGACACAGGCTCCTGACATCAAGAACCAAAGAGCTAAGTCAGATGAAAATCCCCAGAAAATTTTCAAAAGCAGGTTTACAAGGCCCCCCATGCGTAGGGCAGAGTATTTGTGTTACGGGAAAAGGGACACAGGACCTACCTTCCTCCATGTCACCAGGCAGCATCCCAACGCTTCTGGCTGTTCAGGCAGTTCACTCCCCTTGGGTAGGGGGGTGTGATTTGGGGTAGCTGCTGCTGCTGCTTTTCCCCCCTGCTTATCATAGGCATGTAGGGGAAAAGAGAAAGTATCAGAAAGTGTAAAGCAGGCCAAAAATAACTCGTTCTACCATGTAGATGCAGCCTCTGTGCACATCTCGTCTTATTTCCTTCCAGTCTTTTCTTCAGTACACTTCCCCCACCCATATACAGTATTATGTTCTTCCTTTTCTTTTTTTTTTTAACTGAATGTTACATCATATGTGTTTCCCTAACTCGTGTAAATTTTTTCATAAAGAATATTTTTAATGGCTGCAGTTATTGCATGGATGTGCCATAATTCGTTTAACCATCCCACTAATGTTGGACAAAGGTCCTTTCCAATTTTTCACTATTAAAAATAACATGGCAGGGCTTCCCTGGTGGCGCAGTGGTTGAGAGTCCGCCTGCCGATGCAGGGGACACGGGTTCGTGCCCCGGTCCGGGAGGATCCCACGTGCCGCGGAGCGGCTGGGCCTGTGAGCCATGGCCGCTGAGCCTGCGCATCCGGAGCCTGTGCTCTGCAACGGGAGAGGCCACAGCAGTGAGAGGCCCGAGTACCGCAAAAAAAAAAAAAAAAAAAAAAAACACGGCAGTTATCATCTTTGTGCCTAAAACGTTGTCTTAGGATAGGTTCTGAGAGAGGACTCCTGAGTCGTGGGGAGGAAGACAGGTGTTTCCTTAACCTCAGATATGAAATGTGTGGATTCTAGTTTCAGAGGCTCGCTGCCTGACCCGTCCAGATCATAGACTTCCCCAACACCCACATCAGCCCTGGGGAAAGACGGCTGGTGTGGCTCTCATCAAAGTTGTTGGAGCTTTGGCTACTACTATAAATGAGGGACATAATCCTCCCTCTCTACACAGTGTGCAAATATTCAGGGAATTGGTGGAGGTTGGGGGGAGGCTGTTGATCTCTGAAACTGCGGAGCATGGGCCTAGCTATTGCTGTGACCATCCACGGGGATAGAGGGAGCACTGCCGGGAGGAACTGGGCTAAACCAAGTCCCATTTTCTGAAATTCCTCAGGGCCTGTGATTTAAATCTCAACCCTTTGGCCCCTTTCCCATCACTGAGCCTCAGGAAGAGTGGGCAGCTTGGAATGATGCAGAGAAACCTGGACCTTGAACCAGAAGACCTGGGAGCGAGTCCTCACTCTGCCCTGAACTATCTGTGTGGCCAAGTCACCTGACCTCTCTGGGCCCCCGTTCGTTCATCTTGCACACTCAGGTTGCTATGAGAGCGTGCAGGAACGTGCAAAGGGCTAAGTATATATGAGTGATATAGGATTTCCACAGTAATAAGTGGGGTCGGCAGTTGCCCAGGTGAGCCCATGGAGGGTTCTGAGGTCCCCTGTCTCCCAAGAGCGGCCTTGGCTAAGGCCCTGGGTACCCGATCATCCTGCGCCTGCAGCAGTCCTGGCAGTGAGACAGGGCCTTCCTTCTGTAGCCAGCCACTGAGCTGCAGCGGGAGGCTGGCTCCTGGGTAGGGCCCCAGGCGCTGGGCGGGGAGAAGCTAGCCTTGATTTTCTTACACTTTCATTCAGCAGCTGCTCGTGTAGTGCCATGCCCGGTGCTGACTGCTGGGGATGCAGGGATAAATGACACAGTGAAAACTCCACCAGCTCTGCAGAGACGTACACTGGCAACCCTTCCTCGGAGCCTCTCTGGGGTCTGTCTAGGTGCTCTCAGAATGAGGGGCACGTAGAAGGGATCATGATCAATGATGTGACCAGTCCTTCACTGGCTTGTGGCTCTAGGTCCCTGGAGCCCAACAAGTTCAGAATGACTTCACTCCTTCCTGGTTGAGTGACCTTGAGTGTTCTCTGAGCCTGAGTTTTCTGTAAAGTAGAACTAATGAAAACATCATACCCCCAGCCCAAGGCCTGCCTGACACACAGAACCATCTTAATAGCTGGTAGTTATGCTTATCGTTGCCACAAATGGGTCTGATGATACAGATGCTTATGCCAACACCCCCAGAGGAGGAGAGTTGAGGGGCATTCGAGGAACCTGGAGGAGGTTCTAGTTTGGGTTGGACTCATGAGGGGCTTGGAAGCCAGACTGTTCTGGATGATAGGAGTTGAACTGGCCTGAATGAAGCTGCTTCTCACGCCACTGGCTTCTTTTGCTGGACTCACACGGGCTTGTGGGTGGCCTCGTTCCTGGGCTGTGGCAGCCGCCGTCATCAGTCACCTCACTGTAGGCTGGGCCCTGCAGGGCATGGTCAGATGGCAGCTGTCCCCACCCTGCCCTGCCTGGCTGAGTGGATGTTCAGGGTCCCTGAGCAGCCTCCTGCATCCTGGTGCATATCAGTCTGCCACGGGCCCTTGCAGGCTCCTCCCTGGGCCTGTGGGGCCAAGAGAGCTGCATACGGGGTAGAGTAACGAGCTCACACTGGTGCCTGGCTTTGCCGGATTTACACGGGATGCAACGAAGACATCGGCTGCAGAGCCTGGTCTCCCCCCCGTGTGGCAGTTCACCAAACTGAATTTACCCTTCCCACCGCCCGTGCGCCCCTCCCCAAATCTGTTCTCACTTTGAAAGTAAGACCTCTGGGTGAGGCACCTCTCAAGCCAGTTTTTGTGTCCTGAGCAATTCAGTGTTAAAGTCTCTTCCTATTTACCGCAATCTGGCTCAGCAGGTCCTGCCAGAAAATGCCCCCAAGACCCTAGCGGCTGCCAGCAAAGTGGACGCGGCCTGTTCCTCACGGGCACAGGGCCGGCACTCGATGGTGATGCTCTCATCACTGTGAAGTCACAGGGGTGAGTCTGCCACTTGAAGAACACATTCGAGGAGGGCAGTGTAGAGGAACCAGCCATAAAGCAGCAGCTGGTGATGCCGTAAAGCACAGTGGCTCAGTACTCAGAGGCCCAGCTTCCTTACCTGTAAAAGGGGCTGCTCCTAGGACCTGGGGGAAGCCAGCCGAAGAGCGTGGACTCTGAGGCCAGATGGCTTGGATTTGCATGCTGCTCTGCCACTGCCCATCTGTGTGACCTTAGGCAAGTTTCTTCACCTTTCTGGGCCTCAGTTTCCAGCCTTAAATTGGGGACAACAGTAATACCTACTCGCAGGATTGTTTCGAGAACCAAATGAGTTAATTTGTGAGAAGTGCTTATATTCAGGCCTGGCACACAGGAAGCATTCTTCAAGTTCAGCTGCTACGAGGATGACATAAGGCCCTTAGGACAGTGTGTGCTTCTCCCATTTTGACTGGGCTATGACCGAGTCTCCTGGACCCAGGGACCCACGTGAGGACTCCAGGGCTTTCCCAGCCCTGATCCCTCCTGCCCTATTCCCCTCAGCCCTCAAGCGCCTGTGGCAGAGATCACGGATGGGCAGCCCACTGGTAGTCAGTGTACTTCTCACCCTTTCATTTATAGCAGCTTACAATGGAATTTTTAAGAGGGAAGAGTCAGGGGAAAGTTAGGGCTCAAGGCTATGGAATAAATCAGCCTCCTGACAGCGGAAGGGTTTCCAGGAGAATAGTGGGAGCTCATACCCAATGCCAGCTGTCAGCCTTAAAGCACTTAATGACATTAATCCTCCCAAGAACTCAGAGTGGTCATAAGAGCTCCATTCTCCCTTGGCATTGGGGAAATCAGTACTGGGCGCACAGTCTTGAGAAGTCCCCAGCAGAGAGGCCCTTTGGTGGCAAGTCCAACTGCCTCATCTTAGAGTTGCGGAAACCAAGCTCAGAGAGGGGAAGGGACTCAACCGGGGTGACACAGCATGTTAATTGTAGGTGTGGAATTTGAATCCTGGTGGCCTAGTCCCAGCCCAGTGCTCTTTGCACCACCCACTCTGAGATTAGCCAAATTGTCCAAGCCCAGATTGTCAAAGCACAGGTCTCTGGTTCTGGCCAGATCACCACCAGGAACTAGACGTTCTCAGAACTCTAGCAAGAGCAGATTTTCTTTCAGGAGGTGTATGATTTGGGAGCCAAGAGCCCACCTGCTTCCTGTACGTGCATCAT